AATGCTTTTGCCGGGGAATAATTAGCAACAGAAACATTAACCAATAAGAGCCTGAGCTGCATAGTCAGTCGACCTGGATGCAGATTCCAGCTCATCCCATCCCTGTGTGTGACCTTGAATGATTTACTTACTACTCAACCTTCTGAGCTTAATTTTACTCAGATGTAAACTGGGGCTAATGAGAGTACCTGCCCCATGAGCCTGTGGCGTGCATTCAATGAAGTCATCGCTATAAGCTGCTTCGCAGAAAGCCAGCCCCTCTAAGGTTGTAATACAGAACCTACTTTTCTTTGCCAATCTGTATTTCCTGCGTTTGGGGGCCAACAATTTTGTTGTTAGTTAGGTGACAAGGACGAAAATACAAAAGTTTAAAAATCATTTAAAATTTATAATTCTGGTAAAACACCAAACAGTAATGTCTTAACCATTTTCGAGGGTACAGCTCAATGGTGGTCCTCGCATCACAGGGCTTTGCCAGCCTCCCGACTCTTTTCATCTGGCAAAACTCAAACTCCATCCCGTGAAACACTAATTCCCCATCCTGCCCTCCCCTGGCTGCTGGCAGCCACCATTCTATTCCCAGTCTCGTAGGAATCTGACTGCTGTAGGGGCCTCACATGAGTGGGCTGTCACAGCATCTGTCTGTTTGGAATAGGCTTTCACTCAGCAGAAAGTCCTCAGGGTTCACCCATGCTGGAGCACGTGTCAGAGTTTTCTTCCCTTTCAAAGGCTGAGTAGTGCTCCACTGTCTGAATGCCGCACGTTTGGTGGCCCCACTCGTCTGCCGAGGGGCCCTGGGTGCTTAGTGCTGCTGCCTACGGGGCGCAGAAATATTTTCACATCTTTTTTTATAAAGAAAGAATATTATAAGTTCTATTAAATTTCCTAAAACTCAGAAGACATATGTAAACAGGGACCACAGGTGATTGAAATCTTAGCTTTGTTCTTTGGCTCTGAAAGTGCCTCGACCTTTAATTAATAAATTCATGAATATATTTCGCTTTTTATCAGGCACTTTGTCTTTGGTGCTGAAGATTTATTTGGAAGTAAGAAGAGAAAAAACCCTAACAAAGAACCTCAGTAAGATAGGCGCTGCCCGTCCTCCACCTGGACGGTCAGCCCAGGGATCTCTGCCCTTCACGTGAGTCTGATGTCTGCTGCTCTTGCTCAGCCAGGTCCCTTTCTCCTTAGGGTCTTTTTATGGGTCAAGGTGGTTCCTTCATTGTTTACGCTCACCTTCCACCCATCAGAAAGGAGGAAGGGAAACAGAAAGAGTATGTCCCCCCGTCAAAGACACTTTCCGTTTCTGTTCCACTGGCCAGAAAGTAGTCAGCTGTGCGTGGAAATGGCGATTCGTGAGGACTGAAGGTGCATCGTGCTGCATCCACCTACAGAGATCATTTCCATTCTAAATAAATGTAGCAGTTTTCAAAGAATTAGGATCTTACTCTGTGGTAAAGTTCCTGTTGCTCATGGTTGGAGGGGGTGGAGGGAGCAGGGGGATCCTTCAAGTGCTGCCTAGAAGGTCTTCCTTACCTTCCCGCCTACCCCCCAGCTCCTGCTCAGCTCACAGGAGGACCCGAAAGATGTTCCCCGTTCTCTTTGCAAACCCGGTGTCTCCCTGCCAGTACTCTCTGCTGTTCTCAGATTGCCCATCCCCTAGTAAAGCCTTCCCCTTTCAAGGCTTAGCTCTTGTACCAACTCCTCCAGGAAGCTTAATCTTGTCTTTCTTTAAGCTTCCGAGGCAGGGCACCTCACCTCTTCCTCTTATATTCACTTCCTACCGTGCTCTGCATTCCTTTATGGACAGGTCACATCTCCCTTGTGAGCTCCTTCGTAGCCCCTTCCCTTGTCAAGTCTACAACGCCCAGCCCTGCATCTTGCAAAGTAAAACCCTCACACACTTCTGGGATACTTTTGGCCATTCCCAGTGGTTGGTATCACAATCACTAGGGTGCCTTTTGGAAAGGTCTATTTCCTTCTGTTTATTTTCTTTAAAGAGTTGATGCAGTCTCTCTTTTTAAAAACATTATGTACTTTTGGAGAGGAGGGGAGGGAGGGAGAAAGAGAGGAAGAGAAACATGGATGTCTGATTGGTTGCCTCTCACACTCTCCAAACTGGGTACCTAGCCCATAACCCAGGCACGTACCCTGACTGGGAATCAAACCCTCAGCCTTTAGATTCACAGGTTAGCACTGAATCCACTGAGCCACACCAGCCAGGGGAATGCAATGTCTCTTGAAGTAACTTTGAGTCCACATTACAAAATTCTATATTTAGTTGGATTTTTCAGTGCAAATTCAGCCTCATAGCTTTCTTTGCAAGGAGAATTGCTCCTGCCTGTACAGGCCTGGTTCCCTTTTAGTCTGATTAGGTTCTATATTTCACTGTAAAGAGGAAGAGATGGCGCTTCGTCTGCAACTGGGACAGGCCCAGAGTTAAATATGCTCTTTGGGCCCTATTACCTCCTTCCCCTTGAAAAGTGCCATAAGCAGAGCCAAACATATTTTGTTCACATTTTTATTTCAGTTAAGAGTATTTTGGATTTAGATAGTATCACCATTTATTTTAAAAGTGAAAGTAGATCTGTGCGTCTTTCAGTGTAGGCCTGCCTCCTCTTCTCTCTTTTTTTTTTTTTTTTTTTTTTTTGACTCCAGAATGTCTCTATTTTGTGTACACAGAGACCAAGTGGCTGCTGCAGAACCAGTCACCAGAGGGCTGGTGGCAACAGCACTGGCTGCACTCAGAAATATTCTGATTGACGAGCCCTTTGGGGAGAAGGGTGCTCTTTCAGACAGGTGTGCCAAAGGCATCTCTACATCTTCCTCATTCATAAACTTCCAGGTAGATGGAAATGTTTTCCAGGTGGTTTTGGAACTTGTACCTTCAGGGGCAGTTCCAGTGCACCCCACCTGCACAAGCACCATGCCCCTGGGCAGGGAAATGCCACAGCCCCCTCGTTTCCATCATAAAGAACTGTGTCTTGCAAACCCTTGGGGATGTGTGGCTGGTGCCAGGGAAGACATAGCAGAGTAAGTCACGTCCACTCTTCAACTGTCCCACAGTCCCCTAGTGTGTTAATCACAGTCCGCTGCTGAAGTCTAAGGCAATAAAAGGCCACCCAGCCCTCTCATTATTCCATTTCCCTTGGGTCACTATTAACATCTTTATGTGAGGACCCCATGCAGACAGAATCTTTTTAGGTAGAAGAGGTAGTGGTTTCGACTGATGGTACTCACCTGAAGTGTTTTTACTTTATTTGATTAGTCACTATGGATTGGGAGGTGAAGGCTGGATTTTTTTTTGCATGTTCTCTTTGTGATTTGTCAACACATTAAACACACTCTGATTTTCAAGAAGCTGCCCAGCCTTGGTGGTTATTTGGGGGGAAAAAACCAACGGCACATCATCTTTCATCTCTTTTAATTTCAGTTTTACCCTAAAAATCTGTTTTGAGAAGGAAATGGAGCGTGCCAAGCTAATGACAGCCTTCCCCACTCTTATTTTCTTCCCACGTCAGAGCAATGCACACCCCTATCGGCTCTTCAGCATGTAGGGAGGTTGGCAACGCTGCATTAATTAAGTAAAACCTCTGAAGCACTAGAAAAAATGAAAACATATAAACACCCCCGCCCCTGCCCGATCAAGTGGGAGGGGTTAAGATGAAACCCGACTGTGTCAGCGAACAGACTCATTTATTTTCAAAGGTATACTCTCTGGCATTACAGGCAACCCACCTTCCAGGGAGACTGCCAGTGCCTCCGCTGAGCCAGCGAAGTGCTGGGCTAGTCAGTGAGAGCGCTTCGCACCCCCGGGCCGGCCCAGGAGGGTGGAGAGTGCGGGACCCAGTTTCCACTCCCGGGGAGAAGGAGCCGGCGACCCCCGGCCAGCTCGTAAAACCGTTGATGGTCAGGACCCAGCACTTCCCAAGCACCTCCTAGTTCCTACCGCACGCCGTCGTGATTCAGTTACAAATATTCTCCTTTTCCCCGCAGCACCTCCCTCGAAGCAGAGGATGGCACGGCTGTCGTGGGTGGCAGGGATTCTGCAGGGAGGATCCGCGCGGGGCGCAGGGTCTGACACCCCGACACCCGCGGCTGCGACGCGAGAAGGGCGCAGCGGGGCCCCAGCAGCGGCAATAGGACTCCCCGCCGCGGAGGCTGCGGTGGAGGCCCCCCGCGAGGTTGCCTCCCCGGCCCCGCGCGTTCCCCCCTCTCCCGTGGGTGAATGAATGATTAGTCCAACAGCGTCTCCCCGCCCCGGTTCGTCCGAGGTTGAAAGGGAGGAGACTTGGAGAGACCGTTTCTTTTTTCAGGGCGAAAAGCGTTCGCCTCTGTGCGTTTATTAGTCGACCTTGCGTGTAGTTTCTACTTCTGTCCTCCCGCAGTGTCAGGACTCGCGGACACAGAGCCACAGGGTGCTGGTTGGGACCCCTCGGTCCATTCCGCCCGCCAGTCCGCACTCCTATCCCCCCGCCCGAGGGAAGCAAAGCTGAGTGAAAAGTTGCACCCGCCACCCCCACCTCCCGCTCTGTGCCCAATTTGTCGCTCCTTCCCAAAGCTGGGGACATGGGAGCTAGTAGGGGTGGTGAGGCACGCCTAAGCCCCACTTGATGTTCCCTTATTAAAATGGGGGCGCCCGGGCATGAGCAGGGGTGGTGAGGCACCCGGGTTAGGGGAGGGTCCCTGGGGAAGAGGAGGAGGCACCGAAAGCGTGGGCCGGTGGTGACACGCCTGCCCCGCTCAGACCTAAGCCCCGGGGACTGTGGCCTCCCTCGAGGCGCTGGGGAGCGGTCTGGACATCCCACTGAGCCGTGTCTAGGGCGCGGGGCTCCTGCGCCGGGGCGCCCCCAGCGGGTTCCCGGAGGCGCCCAGAGCACCCCTGAGTCGGGCGCGGGAGCGAGCGCGCGCGCCGGCCCTGCGGAGAGCTGGAGGCCGGCGGGAGGTGGGGAGTGCCGGAGAGCCGGACGCGCGCGGCGGCGGCGCCCCGGGCCGTGGCTGCAGCCGGGCGGCGGCGGAGCCGCGGTGCGCAGCGGGCGGCGCTGCCAGTCCTGTCTGCCTATCTCCTGCGTCTCCCACACCCCCTCCTCCCGGCCCCGTATCTGGCGTGGAGGGGCCGACGACTAAGCCTTGGGAGCAACTCCCTCAAAAAAGCCGCATTGGAGAACCTGGCCGCAGGACCCCTCCTCCCGGGCGCCCCCCCCCTCGCCTCCCGCTCCCGCCTCCCCCCCCCCCTTGCTCCCCGGCGCCCGCCTCCCTCCTTCGCGGACTGTCTCCTGACTCGCCGGCTGAGAGCCCTTTTTGATTGCGAGCGGCCGTAGTGGAGCAGAGGCTGCGGCGCGGGACCTGCAGTCGCCCGGGATTCCCTCCAGGTGACGATGCTCTGGTTCTCCGGCGTCAGGGCTCTGGCTGAGCGTCCCTGCCGGCGCTCGCCTGGGATTACCTGCTGCGTCTTGCTGCTGCTCAATTGCTCGGGGGTCCCCATGTCTCTGGCTTCCTCCTTCTTGACAGGTAGGGGAGGGGGCGGGAGGGACCGGCCCTCCGGGATGCTGGCTTGATACCTGGGAAAGGAGGCGCTAGCTCGCCCGGGGGAAGGGAGGGTGCGGAGCGAGCACCTAGGCGCCTGCTCCTCTCTGGCTGGTGGGGATGAAGCGGAGCCCGGGGGGTTCAGGCGAGGGAGGCAGTGAGTAGGTTAAGGGGTGGAGGGCTGAGTGGATGTTGACGTCAATATAGTGATAGAAATGGTTCTATCTGAGTTTTTAAAAATCCCCTTATTTATTTTAAATGTTTTCCTCGATCCTTATTTTGTTCTCTTTCCCCCCCTCTGCAATTAAGGAAACCTTTGCATCGTTTTCTGCACACCCTGCCGTTCTGACTTTGTAAGGTTCCCTTATATCCTATGCGTTAGCAGCGCTTTTGAGCCCCCGCTCTTCAGACCTTGAATTGAAAGAAACTACCATATTTTAAAGGGGCAATAATAGCAGGATATAGTAATTATATGTTTTCAGGCAGGTGAAGACCTCAGCTGCTATTCTGAAGGACATACTTTACTGACACCTGGTGCAGAAAAGAAAATATTGAGTCAATTTCTAAGAGAAGAGGAAAGAAGATTGTATTTCAAAAAACGATTTCAAATCAAGACAATAAGAGGCACATTCATATAAAGGCCTGTTCATTAACACAGTCCTGAATTTTGTTCAAATTTAAAATCTGCCCTAATGGCCAATTTGAACTTTTTTTTTTTTTTTGCATATGGGGTTGTGTGCCAAAAGACCTTTCCAAAGGAGTATTATTAGAGATCTAATGAAATACTTGGAATTGTGCTTAAACCATATAAGAACAACAAAAAAATCTATGGGTCATCAAAAAAATAAACACAACCTATTTTAATATAACTGGAGTAGATTTGGGGGGTGGATTTTTTGTGTGTGTGAGTGTGACCATTTAAAACTCATTAGGAATTTCTGAAATTTGGGTAGTTGTGTCAAAAAGGATTACTGTAAAGATTTCAAATTTTGTAATAATGCCAGTAAGCTAAGGTTAAATTATTTTTTTCCTTCATTCCAGGTTCTGTTGCAAAATGTGAAAATGAAGGCGAGGTCCTCCAGATCCCATTCATCACGGACAACCCTTGTATAGTGTGCGTCTGCCTGGTAAGTAAGGGGACCCTGTCCTGGGAGGCCAGTTGCTCCCTCAGACCAGGTGAAGCTGTTAAAGATAATAACAGGACTAGATCTCAGATCTCAAACACTGCGTTTGGTCTTTACAAAATAGCTGGTGAATTGAATTCAGTTGAACTTCTGAGCTTTATGGACTTTGGTGATTTCCACGTCACCAGGCTGGGGATGCTTATCCTTGACGTCGTCTGCACAGAGACCCATTGAAGGCGGAATTCACATGGCATTGTCTCCGTGGTAATTACCATTTGTACTGTCTGTTCCCACGAATGGCTGTCACCATCAAATCCTAGGCGCCAGCAGACTCTCTGCCTTCATTCTGTCCCAAGAGCTCAGTGTGAAAATGGGAGATAACATTTAGGTATCTCACCAGTGATATGGTATGACAAGGAAAACAGAAGTGACAGTTATAAAAGGCAAGCAGGGGGACCAGATGTAATCTGGGATTTCTTTGCCTGTTTTGGCCTAAACTCTCAACAACCGTCCTCATTACATTTCTGACTTGGAAGGATGAGTCAGGAGGGACAGTCAGTCCCTAATAGAGAGTAACGCTTGGCTGTCAGCTGCTCAGTTAACCCTGGCAGTGGCAGCAGATTAAAAAAAAACCCAAGAATTTGTTTCAACTTACTTTAGCTTTATAGTTAATGATAATAACTAGTAAGTAACCGCGTGGTGGTGATTAAATTATATGAATAAGAATTTCTGAGATGAAATAATACACTCAAAAAGAACAATGCTTTTGTTAAGAGAGATTTTTTTTACATGCCAATCACTTTTGGCAAACTCTTGATTAAAGACTACACACCACAAAACCCTTCCTGTTGGAAATACATTAAGGGCATTGAATGTAAAGCTCCAAAGAAATAGATGAGTATTTGTTATCTGATCAACATTCTGTATAGAGCTGGCGAAGGGATTCCTCTGTGTGGAGGGAAAGCCAAGCCATCTGGGTTTAAACTACCCAGACTTTTTTTCATGACAACAGATGAGGTCAGTGTTGCGAATGATAAATAGGTGAAGGTGAGTGCCTTCAAATGATTATCAGGTTCTGAGGACTAAGGAAATCAACAAAACCAGAAGTGAAAATGTCTTACATATGCCGGTAAGATAAATATTGATGCCTTAAGAAAAGAGAGCTAAGAGAGACAGGCTTTTCAGATTTTTGTGTTTATGAATTTTCATTAATGATCTTTCACTAAAGGACCTGTTGAAAAGAAGCTTTGCGTTGAAATTCTGGCAAAGTCATATATTTCCAAGTGCAGTGGATGTGTTGGGGGCACCAACAGGGGGCGGAGATAATCTTTGGTTTCAATTTCTCTTATCTTTATATTGTGAGTGAATTATCTTAGTCTTAACTGGAAATGACCCTAACATTTAAATGTGCTTGGAGCCCCAGGCACCCATGAAAATATTGTTTGCCTCCTCGGTGGTATTAGTATGCATCAAGTTTAAATGTACGGCTTGGGTTTTGCACACTGTTCCCGAATAGCATGATGAAGAATTCTCCACACAGCATTCCCCTTTCAGTACCACACCCTGGTGGAAAAGAGTTCTTTCCTCTAGAAGTGGAGCCTTGCTGATGATAAGACAGAGGTTAGAAGCCTGGCCTGGGAGGGCAAAGAGCAACTCTTCAGGGGGAAAAATGCATCTGTTGGTAATCAAGTGAAAATATTATGTATTTCAGGCAAGTGTTGATTAAATTTAGACGGCTAGTGGGTTCACTTGCATTTAGAGGTATCTGTCTTGTGTGAGCGCTGTCAGGAATTCTTTCTAAATGTGTTAAGTCGAGACTCAGGCGACCCAACTGAAGTTACTCAGAGCTCTTGCCCGAGCCCAAAGGCCGAGTGACGTGTTCTGTGACCTGTGCATGGGTTTAGCATCACGAGGCCCACACCATTATAGCCATTCTTGCCTCCCTAGCATTTGTAATGACTCAGTGCAACTGAGTGAGAGTAGATGGGTGACCAAACTTCTATTTGTGTATGTGCCTGTAAATTTCTGTGGGACCCACTGCAGCTCTGGGTTTCTTAGCACCTACAGAGGCCATGAGGCTGCTTATATTTTTAAACTCTGGTTGGAAGACAGGTCTGTTTAACAGACTGATGACATTAGCCATGGTGACTCATATTTACAGTCACCTTTAATTGCGGCACTTATCTAGATCAGCATGCTTTCATTTGATTCTCAGAAAAAGTCTTTTGAGAGCTATTACCCACATTTTACAGATGAGGAAACTGAGGCCAGAGGAGTGAGTAGCTTGCAAAGGCACATTGTAGGAAATATGGGAGCTGGAATTCATTCTCGGCTTCGTCAGCCTCTGGAGCCCGTGCCTGTGGCCAAGTGAAGGGGACTGTTTGCTGCATGACCATGTGAGAAAGCAAGAAGAAAACTGAAAGACTGTCGATTTACTTTACTATTTGGCGTTGCTTTGAGTTATTTTTTTTTCTTTTGAGGCTCGTAGGAGTTTGCTTGGCTAACATTTGTTAATCGCATTATATGAAAGGAAAAATCTCGTTATGATTTTGGTTGACCTGCGGGGAGCTTCGGTTGTGAACTAGTTTTATGTGTGTCCATTAAGAGGGTATGTAATAGTCAAAACTGTACTTCGGATAAGGCAAATAGTCACATTTAGTTTGTGTTGGTCCAGCCTTTTGGCAGAAAGGTGCGTAAGGCTGAGCATACGCTCGTATCTTATTTCATAACATGTATTAAAAAAAAGTTAACCTCAACAGATGCTTAAAAAAGACATAGAACGTTACAGTTGGGAGGAAGCGGGCAGCACAAGGTCCCTGCGTATAATTACAGTGCAGGAGCTTGAAAACCCCAGGACTTGGCCTGCTGTAAACTTGTGAGCTCCGAAAGGTTTCAGAGGCAGGATGAGCTCATTTCTGTGGGAATTCTGAGGATGACAGCGGCCGCCGTGGCCACCGCAGGCAGAACCGAGTCCTTTCCCTCTCATCTGTCCTCGCCTGCGTAGACCCGAGCCTCCTGCCAGGACTGGTCGTAGTCCAAGAATAACCTGTTTGTTAGCGGGTGATGGATATCATTTTAAAGTGTGTGGGACAAAAAGCTTGGTTCCTCTGTTCAAGGGGGGAAGGCGAGAAGTTGGGCCGCTGGCCTGAAATCTGGGGAACCGGGGTAGGCGGTTTAGGTTCACCATGCAGAATGTTCCATTCTTTAGTTACGAAGCAAAGTGTGGCTTTTCACCACCTTACAAACATGCTCTTTTCAGGGACTAAGGAAGGAAGGCCCAGACTTAACGCTGTTTTGTGTGATTTTCTTATCCCTTTTTGCTAGAATTATTTTTCCCATAATGCCTAGGAAAACACATTGGTGGTCTCTCTAAGGTGGAGCTGATAGGAGCCAGCCACGTCCAGATAATGAGTCTAAAGCAATTGTTTGGATCTTTTGGTCATCCCCAAAGCCCCCAAGAAGACCCGAGAGTGTCCCTCTGACTAGTCACCCTTTTCCCTGACTGAAGCCGAGGGGGAGATGGCAGAGCCCGTGAATACGGCCCAGTGCTGGAAACTGGAGAAAACTCTGGAGGCTGGGACTTTGCAAACCAGAAGTCAGTCAGAGCTTAGTTTGGCAGGCATTTTGTTCAGCAAAAAAACATTATTCTGAAGTTTAAATTTCCTCTTTTAAATCCAGAGGTGCAATGTAGAAATGGACCCTCTGCTCATAAAAAGCAACGTGAAGTCTGGTGTCACCAGAAGTGGGCCTCCCCCTGTCGCGGAGCCCAGCAAGTGTTGAAAACATAGGAGACTTTGTCTGCTGTCTTCTACTTCTTAATCACAAAAGTCTTCCATCACGAAACAAGTAGCTACCAGCGTCTTCGATTCTCCTGGGTGCCTTATCTCAATAAAATCCTCATGTTTTTTATTGTTCAAATTAACTGGCTAGAGAATAGGTATCTATTATCTGAACAAGTGTTAGGCACATGTTTGGGAATGAGAGATAACTTTGCATCAGGATTCAATTCGTGTGAGTGTGTGTGTGAGAGAGAGAGAGAGAGAAAAGCATTGGGGTGCAGATAGGGGGAGAGAGAGAAAGAAGAGATATAAAGGAATCCAGATGTGTTCAGAAAGACACTTCACTTAATACATGCACATATAAATATATGCCATAACTTTTTGAACATTGTTTTTTTATCATTTTTAGGCTTTAGATTCTCACTAAAGAAATGATCAGGATTCATTCATTCATTCATTCATTCATTCGTTCGTTCTCTGCATAGAAGGTGTTGTAACCAATTGCCTACCCATAGAACAAGGAATTGAATAGAACAGTTTTAGGGGGGAAGGTAATGAATGTACGGTGTCGTGCTGGCCCCTTGGCCAACACCAGCATCGAGGCAGTTAGTTCTCCCCATGCTTTCCTGGGGCTCCCAGAGCAGAGCAAACGTCCTGAGAGTCCACAGTTACTAAGAGACAGGCTGTGACGTGAAGCCCGTGCCTTCTCTACTAAACCAGTTCGCTTCTGCTACTTGTTTAGAGACGTCTAAAAATACCTCCAGAGCCTTTGGAGAGTAATTTCAATGTCCCCAAAGCAGACATAGGCACTCCTTGGGGGCAGTTAGAGTGACTCTGGTCTTGGGGCATACACCAAGTCTGGAATTTGGAAGGTCCTCTCAAAGGAAGACACAGTTCAGGAGGCTTTTGGTGGGCATCGTAGCAATTTGGCTAAGGGCTTTGGGTCTGGTACCAGACGGCCCTAGCTCCCAATTTGAGCGCTGTCACTTTCTGGCGGTAAATTCAGCAAAGTCATCTCACCTTTCTAAACTTCAGTTTCCTCATCTGGATGGCGAGCCCACAGGTTTGCTGAGAGAATTACAGGAGATACAGCAGAGAAGGCCTAGTGTACCAGAGCTCTCTAGAGTCGTTCATTATCAACAAGAGTGGTTCTCGTTGGCGATGACGTCCTTGTTGGAGTTCTCATTCCTTCACGTGGAATAGGTTGTAAAGCCTCATTAGAAA